CTTAATCTGTTTCAGATATTAGACTTCCACATAAAAGTTGACTTGGAAAAGACTTCTGCAGCTAAACGAAAGTTTGAAACTACCTTGGTGATAAAATATAAGCAGACTAGCTTTCTCTTCTAGCTTTCCTACTCATTTCCCAGAAGACTTTGGTCAAGTTATTTAATCTCTTTGCATCCATTTCCTCATCTATGAAATGGGCATGATCATAATGGTACGTACCTCCTCAAACTAAATATATAACATGAACAGAGTCCTTAGCATAGCACTCTTTTCTCTACAGGAGTTAATTTTCATTGTTTTTCTTTTTTCTGCTAGAGAAAGTAAGCAGAAAACAGCTCCTTGGATGGCTTCCCATGGTGAGTGGCTGGGGCACATCTGTGTCCCTTTTTCCTCTCTGGCTCCTTGTGGCCTGGACAGCCAGAAGGAAGCCATGCCATGCTGCTTCAGCCCTCAGCTTCCCTCTTGCATTTCCTAAAAAAGTTTTTGGTGCCCAGCTCCAGCTCAGCAGATTCAGGATCCCCCTTCATCATGACTTGGTCAACACCCTACTCAGGCCAAGGTCCTCTGAGAGCTCCAAGCCTCCCCACTCCCTATAAAAGGCAGGCAGAACAGCCAGAGGAGCAGAGAGGCAAAGAAACATTGTGAAATCTCCATCTCTTACCCTTCAACATGAAAGTCTCTGCAGCGCTTCTGTGCCTGCTGCTTATAACAGCAGCTTTCAATCCCCAGGGACTTGCTCAGCCAGGTAAGTCACCATCACCTCCCCTCTCCCTCTCTTTCCCTCTGTTTCTCTCTTCAAGGAAGACCTAAGCCCAAGTGCTCCCACTTTTTTTTTTTTTTAGATCGAGTCTCATTCTGTTGCCCAGGCTGGAGTGCATGGGTGAGATCTTGGCTCACTGCAACCTTCGCTTCCCAGGTTCAAGCGATTCTCTTGCCTCAGCCTTCTGAGTAGCTGGGATTACAGGCACCCGCTACCACGTGCAGCTAATTTTTGTATTTTTAGTAGAGAAGGGGTTTCATTATGTGGGCCAGGCTGGTCTCAAACTCTTGACCTCAAGTGATCCTCCCGTCTCGGCCTCCCAAAGTGCTGGGATTACAGGCGTGAGCAGCCATGCCCAGCCAAGTGCCCCACTTCTAAGCCCACCAGAATAGTAAGGCTCCTCAGGTTCACTTTAACATCTAATTTTAAAGATAGAAAGCTGAAGCCCATGTTGGAGACAGAAGGGACCCTACCCGCCCACCTCCAGGTTATCCCAGAACAAGAATGAAACCTAAGCTTCTGACTCCAAATTTAGGGCCTTTTCTTTGACCTCATCTGATTTTCCCAAACTCTGCACATCTGGGACCACACCCAGTACCTTTCCCACTGGCCTTGCCCGTGGCCTCCCCCTAGATGGCAGTGACATGTCCTCACCATGCAGCTGAGCCTTTGAGATCCTGAGGCCCATGTCACAGGTCCCACCTCACCTCGGGGTCTAGGGCGGGAGCGCTGGGCTTGGAGGTGGATAAGATCTACTTCTTCCTCTTTACTTTGCATCCCATACAGATGCTCCCTGCTATATTCAAGCTGAGAAAAGCCTAAAATATTCTCAAAGCTTTTTATTTGTAACTATTTCTAGATGCACTCAACGTCCCATCCACTTGCTGCTTCACATTTAGCAGTAAGAAGATCTCCTTGCAGAGGTTGAAGAGCTATCGGATCACCACCAGCCGGTGTCCCCAGAAGGCTGTCATGTAGGTAGAAAAGTCCCTGCTCACCTGGCTCCTCCCCAACCCCACATTCCCCAGTCCAAAATTCTGCCCCAGGAGACAGACATCAGACTGACCTGGGATCTTACTCAGGATGAGATCTAACCAGACTATGTGATGCAAATCCTCCTATTTTGGCTGCACAACAGACCCGAAGACGGCCTATAATTTCCCATGCCCTGCTTGCTGGATGGGCACCAGGCCACACCCTTTAGCAGATGCCAAGATCAGTTTCCCAGGGGCAGGAAGAGCACTAGTTGCCTCCAGAGACCCCTTCTGTCCACACACCTCCTACTTCCTGTCCCGCAGGGGTGGCTCTTCACCTGTAGCAGGTGGGTCAGGCAGGTTTAGAGCCCAGTGTGTCATCTCCTAGGTAAACCCTCAAAGGGTTCCATCTAACTGCCCCAGCTTTCCTTCCTCCACAGCTTCAGAACCAAACTGGGCAAGGAGATGTGTGCTGACCCAAAGGAGAAGTGGGTCCAGAATTGTATGAAGCACCTGGGCCAGAAAGCTCACACGCTGAAGACTTGAACTCTGCTACCCCCACTGAAATCAAGCGGGAGTATGTGAAATGACTTTTCCATTCTCCTCCAGCCTCCTCTTCTATACTTTGGAATATTTCTACCATAATTTTCAAATCGGATGCATTCTGTTTTGTGATTCAAAATGTACTATGTGTTAAGTAATATTGGCTATTATATGACTTGTTGCTGGTTTGGAGTTTATTTGGGTATTGGTGATCTTTTTTAAAGCAAGGTGTTGAGCAAGTTGGTTGCTGTCTGTAAGCCCCCTTCCCTTCCACTGTGAGCTGCTAGCAGTGGGTTTCTCTTTGGCTCCCAGAGGTTGAGAGCGTGCCTGTGGGAGTCATGGACATGAAGGGATGCTGCAATGTAGGGAGGCGATGCATCCTCCCAATGTAGGGAAGTGAATGTGAGGCGTTGCTAAATATGTTATTGTGGAAAGATGAATGCAATGGTAGGACTGCTGACATTTTACAAAAAATACACTTTATTTAAAATCTCTTACACAGTGGTGTTTTCTTCAGAAGTGACTTCCAACCAGTAGGAGCTCTAGGAGGTGTGGGTGGATGACAGAGCATGCCAGTGGATGGCGGATGTACACAGGCCCTGGCCGTGAGGCTAGCCTGGCTCATCTGAGTTTCAGGGAGAGCCTGCCTCACCAGCCCAGGCTGTTCTGGAACAATGGCTCCAGTCCTCAGCATGGGCGCTCCTGGCTTGCAACACATCAGTTTCATATTCAGTTAATTTCTTTCTTTAAAATCATACTCCTGCCAAAAGTAAACCCCTCCCTTCCCCTCTAGTCTCCCACCCCAATCTATGCCTCCCCACTCGAAGCAGCAAGTGATTCAGACTTCATGTGCACCTGACACCCAGAGGGAAACCAGATGACCAAGTCCTAGTGAGCCTCAGGCTTGGTAGGGAAGAGGGCACTTGGTCCGAACAGACCTTAGAGGATGGGAAAGTGTGGTCATAGCAAAGATTCTTTTAGGGGAGGTCCAAGAGGGCAATGTGGGGAGAGGGCCTGGGAGGAATATCCCCAAACGGTCAGATTTGGGTTTCCAGAGTGTAAAAGTTGGAGACATGTAGAAAGGAAAGATGAGGGCAGGTTCTAGAGGAATTAGAATATCAGGGTGGGGAATTTAGACTCAGTTCTGAAGGCAGGAGGAAGGTGTGAAGGTTTTTGAGTTATCCAGAGGGAAGAACGGATGCCAGGAAGAGTAGCTTTTGGCTGTGGATAAGATGGAGTTGAGAAGGGAGGGCTGAAAACAGCCTACTGCAAGAGAAAATAGGGGCTGAAGGGCAGTCATGGGGGTGGAAGAGAGGAGGCAGATAAAGAAGACGGCCAGATGTGTGATGGGGGGCAGTCATAAGGGCTGAGGAAGGGCAGTCATGGGGGTGGAGTGGAGGAAACAGATTAAGAAGACTGGGCCAGATGTGTGACTTGTTGAATGGGGAATGAGGGAAACACAGCATGAGACCTTTGTCCTCTAAAAGTGACCTTTAAAGGTAAAGGTGTGCCAACCCCAAGACTTAGAAATACTTCCTTCCTTGGCTATTCTTCCTTGAATCACACGTTGTACAAATTGGAGCTTGGGAATGTCCCTTTTAAGGCATCGGGCCTCCTCTTCCTATATGTCCACCGAGGGTTCTCCTGCTCTTCCCAAGACAGCCTCACTCCTCCAGATAAGCTGGGTGGGCATTTCAATCAGACCCGGAACCCACCCATGCCTGGACACCCACCGAGATCTTCCTCAAGGAGAGATTGGGCACTGCTGACAACAGCAGGGCCTGTCCCCCAGATCTGGTACCACGCTGCGTCAGGCAGTACACTTGGCAATTTGGGACACCTGGAGGAGTTATCCTGGGAGGCAACAGCCCTGGGCTCTAACACCAGATCTGCCCCTGAATTGCTGCGTCTCTCTTTAGCACTCAGTCACCTCATCTGTAAAATGGGTTTAGCAACATTTTACAGGCAGACAACCTCACATGATCCCCTCCAGCTAGGGCAGCTGTGATTTGGTGATAACATCACCCCCGGAGGCTGCTGGGCAGAGAAATGTTTCTATGTCTATCTGGGACCTTACCTGTTGTGTTGGACTCGTGTGTTGGTGCGTGTGTGTGTATGTGTGTGCCTGTGTGTGTGTGTGTGTATTTTTCTCTTCTTAGGGAGAAGTGCCTTACTTGTTGTGTTGGACTCGTGTGTTGGTACATGTGTGTGTGTGCCTGTGTGTGTGTGTATGTGTATGTGTGTATTTTTCTCTTCTTACGGAGAAAGGTCTTGCACCCAGCTGTGAACCCCAACTTTCTGTTCCACTGTACCCCTCTTGGCAGCCAAATCTAGAGGCAGAGAATCTGCACCACCACCCCGAGTCAAAGCTTACCCCCCAGGACAAAGGCAGTCACTGAGAGGTACTGAGTCACTTATTAGCTCAGTTCCTCTGGCACCAGGTACAACATGTCTCCCTCCTCCTGCCCCATCCTTCTGCCCCTGGCTTCTACCTCTCAACGCCAACCAAGTTTTCACTCTGAAATCCAAGAGACACAGAGGGCTGGGGGTTGATCATTCTATAATTTAAATGTAGAAAGTGCAACAACATAGCTTATCAAGACCAAGCAGATCCTCTGTGACCCAGCAAAAGCGGGGCAGAAGGAATGGTATAGGACTGGGGATTTCCGGGACAGGTGAAGCTACGTGGTTTCCAGAGCCCATAATGGAAAGAAATCTGCTCATTTTCTTTTTGGCAGGCAGTGGCTCAGCTTTTTAATGTGATTCTGAACCCATCTAGCCTGGTTCAAGGCGCAGGCCTCGTTGCCTCTCTTCAGCTTGAATCTGTGAACAGAGAATAAGAGAGAAGGCTGAACCACCCAAGCCACCACTGGGTGAGCACCACACAAGCCCCATCTCTTCCGGCTGCCAGGTCCCCTAAGCTGCTCTTGCTGGGCCTTGGGCTCCCCTCTGTAAATGAAGTTGCTGTACAGGATGTGTGGTTTGCACGGTGGGGAACAGCCAAAGCACCAGGAGCTTATGAATTGAGCTTCCTGGACCCCTCTCCTGGTTTCAATTTGGTGTATCAGGGTGGGGCTGAAGAGCCTGAAAACATTCTGATGATTAGGTGGGATGAGAAATTCCCATCCTAGAATAGCTCTCTGCTCCAACTTTAATGTTTTTGTGTCCATCTGGGGCCTTACTTGTTGCGTTGGACTCGTGTGTTGGTGCGTGTGTGTGTGTGCCTGTGTGTGTGTGTGTGTGTATTTTTCTCTTCTGATCTGTCTACTTCCTAAACTGGACTATTGTCCAATCTATAGACCAATTCTGTCTCTTACTATCTGGTTGATCTTAGACAAATATCTCTACCTTCCTGAACCTCACTTTTCATGATAACAAAAATATGTACCCCAAGAGGATCGACAGAGAGAATATACACAAAAAAGACTTAAAATACTGACTGGTATGTGAAAGCTACCCCAGTTATGTTTGTAAAGACCCTGTGATGCAGCTATGTTTATGCCCCTTCACGGATAAGAAATACAGAAGGATACGCAGATAATTAGGTACAAAGGAGTTACCTCTCCATGGTCATCCAAGACTATGGGTTCCAAATCTAGAGGCAGGAACTAATCCTGGTTCCCTTGCTCTTCCTAGTGCACAATAACCCCTTGTGCTTTTGTTAAACAATTCCTTCCTCTTAGCGCATAATGCTGGGATGTAATACTTGGCACCTTGGAGTTTCAGGAAACACAAGTCACTGCAGGAGCACAGATGCGTCCTTCCTCACACCTGCTAGGAAGCTCCGTGCTCCCTCTAGCGCCCAAGCGCGGTTTGCACCCAGATGCTGGCAACTCTGGGTTTAGAAACCTTATTCTGGTAAAATACTGTCATCTAGTGTCTACTCTTCTAATTCCAGGCTGGCGGGGTTCTGTTCTCTAGGGAGAGATTGAGCAGGTGATCACTTACATTAAGCCCTCATTGGAGCAGCTGGAGCTGGTATTTCTGTAACACTGGATTGCCCGCAGGGAAATCTCTTTCTCCACAAATGAGAAGCAACATCTGGAGAAGGGTACCTGCACTGGAAGAGGAACACAAATGATGGTTTGTATCCATTTCTCAAACTCTCACCTGTAGCACAATTTTTAAAAAACAAGCAAAAAAACACCTCCCGGGACAAGCCCTGGTTTGGGGACCACATCCGGAGGGTGCCGGCATGGCTCTGTCTCATCAGCCACCTCGTTCTGGGGCTAGGTAAAGAGTCAGAAGATTGGGGTTCAGATCAGAGCTCCCCGCACCCCAGCTGAATGGCCTTGAGGAAGATGTGCCTTCACCGCAGCCCTAGACTTCCCATCTGTAAAATAAGACTTTTTGGAGCCTGGTTTCTAAAGGCTCATCCGGTTTTGGTATTTCACCGCACATGCATGGTTCTACCCCAGTACTCATGTCCAAGGGTCCTGGGCCCCACACCCTGGGGACCTGGTCAGTCTGATGCAGGACACGGTGGTCCACAGTTCACAGACCTGATCTGGGGAAGATTAGGAATCGTTTGAGGACTCCAAGCTGATGAGATGACAAGGGAAGAGCTCCCAGGAACTAGCTAGCTGCCCTACTCAATCTCTTGAATCCCCTCCTGCCCTGGTCCTCGGCTCTTTCCCAGCCCCCAACCCCCACTCTGTTCATTTGTGCATTCTCCTCCCACACCACACCCCGCAAGAGACCTGCATTCCAACCCCAGCTTCTTCCTCCTAGTTTTTCTGTTTGCAACCCCTTTCATGCCTCTTACTAGGTTGCTACTCTCCAAACAGCCTTGGAGAGCGGACATAATCAACTCCATTTCACTGACAGAGAAAGCAGAGTTTGAGAGCTAAAGTGACTTGCCCAAGAGTAGCCAACTGTTAGAGCCCAGTCTTGCCTTCAGACTCTGCTTTGTGTCTGTCACGCTGTGGAAGCTACACCCAGGCCCTCCCCTGGACCTCGGGCCTCCCCGCTTTAACCAAGTAACCTCACAGGCTCCCTCCCTTGGGTCTGGATGAAGCAGAGCCTCCTTGTACTGAAGCTGGCAGTTCAGTTCTCTGTGTTTGCCCCAACTCATGGTTCTCCTACTGGCTCTCACCCCCAGCCCGTCCAAGTTCACCTTTCCTCCTCTTTAGATAGGAAGAGGGGAGACTGAGTTGGTGAGTTCAAGGAGGCCTGCTCCAACCCCAGAGTGGCTGACAATGTTTCTGCCCTCCCTAGAGAGACACAAAGTGATGCCTGCCACACTCACTGCTCTTGCTGTCCACGTCTTGCGGCCACATCCCAGCTAGCAGCAAGCACACCAGGGCCGTGGTGATGATCTGCATGTCTTCTGGTCTGGCTCTGGCCTTCCTGGAGCAGCTTTGATGAGCCTGGTGAAGCTAAGAGCTCACCACTGTGCCATCCTGAGATGCCGAGGGCTTTTATTGTTTGAAAAAACTCCACCCAAAACTCCAGGCCATGGTGGGAGCCACAAGTGGGAAGCCACAGGGACAGGGAACAGTTGCTCACACCCAGTGACCATGTGGTAAACTCCTTTCCCCACCTCTCCTGGGTGTTATTTGTGGTGATGGATTGATAGGTTGCATTGGGAACTTCCCCAAGTGTGGGAGCAGATAAGAATCTTGAAAAAGTGCGTGGGAACTGCCCTGGTTGAGTGGGAAGCAAAGAAAAGTAAGTGAGAGGAAGTGGCCTGTGTGTGGCTTATCCAACCCTACGTCATTCCATCCAGGCATGTACTGCTGCTTCAGGGTAGAAGAGTTGGGACCTGAGCAGAGATACACCTGCATTTGAATCCCAGTTCTGCAGAGGAGGGATTACATAAACTTACCAAAATGCATATTCACACAAAATGCAAATAGCAATGCATGTCTCAAGGATGTGTGATAAGAATTAAATAACATTCTCTATGTCAAGTGACTGGCCTAGATATTGGCCATTTCTCTTTTTTTCTGTTTTTTTTTTTTTTTTTCCAATCCTCAACACTTTTCAACAGCTTATTCTGTTCTAAGTCCTTGGTTAGCCCCAGGGAAGGCAGTTATCAATGAGGAGCACTGCCTGACCTCGAGCCACTTCTCTTCAACTCACAGATAAACAAGTGAAAGGCACCCAGTGTAAGCACAGAGATAGATGCGTTATATCGGGGTTACAGAGAGGACTGAGAGCTGCTCACCAGCATCTGAGAGTCCTGCCAGGGAAATTTTCCGTTTTTGTTTTTTTTCTAGAGTCCCACTCTGTCGCCCAGGCTGGAGTGCAGTGGTTCAAACACACTGCAGCCTCAAACTCCTGGGCTCAAGCGATCCTCCCGCCTCAGCCAAGGAATTTTCCCTTTTTTTTTTTTCTAGAGTCTCATTCTGTTGCCCAGGCTGGAGTGCAGTGGCGCAAACTCACTGCAGCCTCAAACTCCTGGGCTCAAGCGATCCTCCTGCCTCAGCCTCACAAGTAGGTGGAACTATAGGTGTGCACTACCTCGCCCAGATAATTCTTTTCTTAATTTTGTATTTGCATAGAGATGGAGTCTCATTGTGTTCCCCAGGCTGGTCTTGAACTCCTAGGTTCAAGCAATCCTTCTGCTTCAGCCTCCCAAAGCGCTGGGATTACAGGTGTGAGCCACCACCCCAGCCAGGAGAATGTTCTTTAAGCAACATCTCCTGTGTACTGATGTGGAGAGGGGAATGCCAAGTAGAGGCAGGGTTTTGTATGAGGACAACAAGGCATAAGGGAGCACACTTCATTTCAAATCATCAGGAAAAGCAGAAGTGTAGGGTCCAAGGAGAGTGACAGGAGTGAGACAGTGGTTGCAGAGAGATGTGGATGTACATTACAGAGAAGACTGGGTCATGAAGATGTATGCAGTGCTTGGAATAAAGAACACATAGTAGGTGCTCAAGAAAAAGTAGCTGAGCCAAATCTAGGCATTGAAATCATGAGGCCTGTGTGCATCATATAGAGTGACAGCTAGACTGATCTACTCTGATTGTGCACTCTTCAGCTCAAAAACCCGCAGTGGCTCCACACTGTCTGTATGCCTCAGTGGATGCCAGCACATTCGGTTAACTGCAATTCCTGACTGCAAATAACTGCCACTTGCTGTACTATCTCTGGGATTTTGCTCCTGCTGTAACCTCCACCTGCAGAGCCCACCTCTCTATCTCCCTCTGTGAACATCCTACCCATTGCAAATGTCATTGTCTCCACAAAGGCACTTCTGTCATATCTAGCAGATAGGATCTCAGCCTCTTGTGAGAACCCTCATGGCTGGATCACCATATAATTCCTGCAACACTTTCCTTTAGTCCACCCTCCAAACATGGGAATGTCCAAGTTGAAAGGGCTCTTTCAGACTATCTACAACAATGGCTCTTAAAGTTTTCTGGGAGAGCTTTTGCACAAATCTGAATATTTTAGTCCCATTTCAGAATCAGAATCAGAACACATGTGTCTGTACATGTTGGAAAGAAAAAATTTCCAGGTAATTTTCTCAGACACCAGAAGATAAGAATCACATATCTCGTATGATCACTTCATATTATGATGAAACGAGAGGAAAGTAACTTGTCCAAGGTCATGCTGACCTCAGGGACAATGGAACTTGAGCCCTGGTCTTTTCATCTTCATGTGCAACTGCCTCTGAGAATACACTTTTTGCACAGTCCACAACTAACTTCCTCTGCTCAGACCAACCAAGTACCATTTATCCTTTCCACTGCTTCCTGCCACCTGAAAAGTGGTTGAAACCACAAACTACTGTTGTCTCTATCCTATTCTCTTTGTCGTTAGAGATGAATAAATACTATGTGCTATTCATCCTACTATGCACTATGCATCCATCTTTTTCTTTCCACTTTTAATTTAAGTTCCGGGGCACATGTGCAGGGTGTACCATTTTCTTTATCCAGTCTATCATTGATGGACATTCGGGTTAATTCCATGTCTTTGCTATTGTGAAGGTGCATGTGCCTGTATCTTTATAATAGAATGATTTATATTCCTTTGAGTGTATACCCAGGAGTGGGACTGCTGGGTCGAATGGTCTTTCTACAAGAGATGAGTACTTTTTTCTGCCTTTACCATAGGGTGTCAGGAGAGAGAGAAGACACAAGCGGGTGGTCAATCAGCCTAAGGTAACTGCAGGTCCTTTAGATGCAGGAAACAGACAGGGGAAAATGTGGCCACCTTGGAAATTCTTTGCTCTTCCCCTCCTCCTGGGGTTGCTGGCCAGCCCAATCAAGAAGGGAAACAGGGCTGCCCTCTCCACCACTCGCTTCCCCTCCCCCCGCCTCACTGTGGCCACAGTCAGACCTGCACAGGCAAAAAGAGAACAGCAAGATTTAGCCATGCTTTTCCTTTCCAGGCTCCCTCAGCACATGGAAGGAACTGGCTGGAGGCTCTTATCACACAGGAGCGTAATGTTTCTCATGGGTGTCTCTTCCACCCCAACGTGACTGCCAAGGGCACAGACTTCTCTAGGCTCTAGCACCAAGACTAGGACCAAGTAATAACTCAATTAAATAGTTGTGTAACTGAGCAAGCTGGGACAGATGGCATAGGATGGACTGATGTATAAGAGATGCTCTCAGAATAAACACTGAACAAGTTATTCATACGAACACATTTCTTCGTTAGAGATTTGAAAATCAGAACTGCCTGGAGATAGGTTTTCTTAGTCATCTTTTACGAAATAAGTACCAAATAAAAGAGGATAGGTAGAGACCAGATAGAGTTCGGCCCACGCAGCTGCCTCTTAAGACATCTCTTCCAGCAGCGCCCAGTGGAGTCCAAAGGTGTCCAGGAGTGTTCCAGCCCCCTTTCCTCCTCCTGGATGGCCCGAGTGGCCTGGGGCTTGGCCCTGCCTGCTCGCCTTGCAGTTACAGTTCAGCCTGATCCTTGCAGATCAGGGCACAGAAACCAACAAGGGAGAAGTCATTTACCCAGCATCACACAAGCACAGAAATACTGGTCTTGCTTTGTCCAGCTCTGGGGTCAAGTCTTCTGGGTTCCCTCACTTAGGGAGGAAGCAAGCTATAGAGGAAATGCAGGATGGTCAGACACAACTGGGTCAGATCTCAGCTCCACCACTTGACCCTAGGCAAGTAATTTACACTTTCTGAGCCTTTGCTCTCTCATTGTAAGCTCCACAGCTAACCGGACTTGGCACAGCTCTCCTCATTGTTTTTAAGATAAACTCTCCAGGCTGAGGCAGGAGAATCGCTTGACCCCTGGAGGCCGAGGTTGCAGTGAGCCAAGATCACACCACTGCACTCCAGCTTGGGCAACAGAATAACAGTCCAGTCTCAATAAAATAAAATAATGAAAATAAATAAACAAACTTCCCAAACCTCAAATACATTTATTTGAGGTTATCCGAAGGATCGAGTGAGATTTAAGAGGAGGGAAGGGAGAGGAAAATAAAAAGTTGGATCATTCAAAATCATCATGGAGCACCTAATATGTACCAGACACGGGGGATACCACAGCGGGACAAGACAAACAATACAGGCCCTGGTATTGGGAATTGTGCTAAGTCGAGGTTAGTGCTTCAAGGAGACAGACAATGTCCTGTGAGCTGCAGAGTGTGCAGAAATGCTCACCACAGGGCCAGACACATAGTAGATGCTCAATGAAACTGTGTCCTTTTCCCCTCCATCCTGGACCACTCTCAGCATCAGCGCACGAATCCAGGCAGTGCCACCCTCTCTCCCACTGGGGCCCATTTCCTGGTCTCTTTCCCTTCTCATCTGGTGCTGCTTGACACTCACACCAAGGCTTGTGTCATTGCCCACCTAAGCAGGGTGTCCTCTTGGGTCTTCAAGTCTGCACCAGACCCCCTACCTCCTGCAAGCACAAGTTCAAATCCACAGCAAGGACCTGAGCACCCAAACACCTCGGGATTCAAAGCCCTTTCTCATGTTTTCCAGCACCTCATTACACTCTGCCCACATTCCCTTTCCCCCTATTTTTCCCCTGACATTTAGCACTTTTTAAAGGAGCCCTCTGCTATTTACATCTCAGAAACAACATGAAGGAGGCATGGAGAACCCCTCATAGCAACAGAAAAACCAAGGGATGCCCCAAAGGATGTCACAGGCACCCAGCTTTTCAATGTGCTGCTGACTCCGACACCAACATGGTCCACCATGCTCAGGGTGACATGCAACTGTCTTGGTTGGTCTCAGAGGGCCCTGCACAGCACAGTCAGCAGACTTGCAGCAACAGAGTCCCACTTGCTGTCTGCACATACACTGGGATTTACTGCCCCTTCTGCCTGGAGTACTCTTTCCTGCTTTATGTGCCTAACTTCTTGCAGGCTGTCCAACGCGGAGCTCCC